CTGCTATTCAATCTATAACAGTAAAAAAGTTTTTTGTTTTTAAATCCAAGCTATTGTGACACAGGATCTAATTAGTGGCACTTGTCAGCGTATCCACTGTTAGCGTAACACACCCGCTTTAAGGACACTGACTGCTATTCAATCTATAACAGTAAAAAGTTTTTTGTTTTTAAATCCAAGCTATTGTGACACCAGATCTAATTAGTGGCACTTGTCAGCGTATCCACTGTTAGCGTAACACACCCGCTTAAGGACACTGACTGCTATTCAATCTATAACAGTGAAAAAAGATTATTTTTTTTTTAAATCCAAACTATTGTGACACCAGATCTAATTAGTGGCACTTGTCAGCGTATCCACTGTTAGCGTAACACACCTGCTTTAAGGACACTGACTGCCATTCAATCTATAACAGTGAAAAAAGATTATTTTTTTTTTAAATCCAAACTATTGTGACACCAGATCTAATTAGTGGCACTTGTCAGCGTATCCACCGTTAGCGTAACACACCCGCTTTAAGGACACTGACTGCTATTCAATCTATAACAGTGAAAAAAGTTTTTTGTTTTTAAATCCAAGCTATTGTGACACCAGATGTAATTGGTGGCACTGACTGGGGAAATGGGCACAGTATGCACTGTGAGCCTGACACAGAAGCTGGCAGCAGTGGCAGACAACTGACTGCTATTCAATCTATAACAGTGAAAAAAGTTTTTTGTTTTTAAATCCAAGCTATTGTGACACCAGATGTAAGTGGTGGCACTGACTGGGGAAATGGGCACAGTATGCACTGTGAGCCTGACACAGAAGCTGGCAGCAGTGGCAGACAACTGACTGCTATTCAATCTATAACAGTGAAAAAAGTTTTTTGTTTTTAAATCCAAGCTATTGTGACACCAGATGTAATTGGTGGCACTGACTGGGGAAATGGGCACTGTGAGCCTGACACAGAAGCTGGCAGCAGTGGCAGACAACTAAGTGCATTTACATTACATAGAAAAAAAAAATCCAAAAAAAGCATACCCTTATCCCTAACCTAGCTATGCTTTTCCCTATCTTATGAACAGCAGCTACACTTTCCCTCCTCTTACTAAGCATGCAGCTTGAGAATGAATCTAAAATGGATGCCGTCCAGTAGGTGGGAGGGTCTGCTAGGGAGGCTGTGCTGCTAATTGGCTGGAATGTGTCTGCTGACTGTGAGGTACAGGGTCAAAGTTTACTCAATGATGACGAATAGGGGGCGGGTCGAACCGCGCATATGTTCGCCCGCCGTGGCGAACGCGAACATGCTATGTTCGCCAGGAACCGTTCGCCAGTGAACCGTTCGGTACATCACTATTTATGTCCTGAGCCCTGCAAGTTGTGAGGTGGGGTCAACATAGATCGGATTTTTTGTACCAGTACATCCCAATCAATCCTCAATCGGAATTTGGGAACTTGCCTTACTATGCAATTGGAGAATTATTCCAGGTAATGTCAGAAAAATTACTAGAGGTTTAAGGTTTTCAAAAAGCCCCTCCTTTGATCAAGAGGAGAAAGAGTTTATTAATGAATGGACTGAACTTTTAGATTTATGAGCCTGATCACCAGAAGTAGTAAAAATACACTAACCAATTGGATATTGAAATTAATAAACTACAGAGCGTTTTGGTAACCAATATGTCCCCTGATAAGTATGCATGCATAACTAGGGATATACAAAATAATTTAGAAAAAAAAAAATTGAAGTGATGAGTGTGATTGAGATTAAAAAAAGAAAATATTTGCGTAATAAAAATAATTACTCAAGGGGGCGGAGCTTGAAGCTTGAAAAGAGCGGATGCCTTTTTTATGAGCTCCAGAGACGGGGACAGAAAAACAGAGAAAAAAAGGAATTCTCCATCAAAATCAGGGAAAAGAACGACATACCTCTCCTCCTGAAGACGAGGGCTACCTGTACATGCCTTTCCTATACAACTCAGCCGGCAAGAAAACCCGCTGACGATCAGGGGCCTACTCAGCACACCAGCATCCTAGAGCCTGCACACTCGACTGGGCCACTGCCCTGGAACTACTAAGCCATCCCCAGACACCGGACGATAATCCGCTACGCAACGCGGACGTGATGGGCCGGCGATCCCAAAAGCCTCAAACACACGGCCATAAAGATACCAGAGATATAGGGGACATGCTACAATCCCCCATGGCCAAACGAGCACCGGTGCACACGGATCCGGAGGAGAGCTCCACACGAGCAGAGTTATGGCTGCGGCGAGGAACATGTCACCATTTGATTTGAATCCGCCCATATCACATTCTTTCAGGATCTTACAAGAAGCACATTGCAGTGGCGCAGATCAGTGGGCTCGTTTACCAACCACCTCCGAACAGCAGGCATGGGATGCCGATGGGGCATGCCCAGGACTTTAACGGTGATAAAAAATGGGGTCAAACACAAACTCACCTCCCTGAATGATGGACCGGCATTTCTGCGGGCCCTCGGCCTACCACCGCTGCCAGCGGCCTCAACGGAGACCCCCAAACAACATGTATGGGACCCCTCGAGAACTGTCCTGCTCAGCTCCTACCTGAACCATGCTTTGACGGAGCGGACTCTCCAGTATCACATAGCCCTCTCAGATGACTGCTCCTGCTCATATTATGATACAATTAAGACAGTTCTTTATTCCGCATTGTTGAAGCTTGGTTCATGACTGCTTTTAGTTTTTGTTTACATATACTTATCATCTTTCTCTCATTTAGCCACGCTTAACTGTATTTATCACAGCACACGGTAAATCGAACACGCGAAAATACACGAGCCCTCCCCGCTCCAGAATGATAAGTGCCTTAAGCACCAGGTGCTCCCCCAGCATGTGAAACCCACCCTCCACCCCCCGTGGCTCCCCTAGGTCAGGGACCGTCTGCCATGAATAAGTAAGCACGGACCCTGGGCTCAGATCCCATACACATAGTTTACCCAGTTGGCCCATGTTGCCTACTCCAACATTTTACATATCATAGTGACTGGGCACACTACAGCAAAGACAATCAGCACCTACGCCCCAGGTGCCGAATAAGAATAAAAATAAGTCTGGTCTTAGCAACTATCCCCATCGTGTAACCTTGATATAAAGGACACCTCCGCACCCTAGCCCCTCACCCCTTAGATCTGAGCGTCAAATCACATTCACCAAGTAGGGTTGCTTACTACTCTTACGCTTCTCTTAATAAGTTCGGCTTGTTTATTATAATTTTAAAAAATGAGGCTGTCCACTATGGGAGTCTACATAACTGAATATGCTATTGCACCCACATCGTGTATTAACATGCTTTTACTCCCTTTTTTAATTTCTGTAACACTTTTATCATTGCCTCAATAAAAGAAAGAATTATTAAAAAAAAAAAATTCTTAGATGTAGATTTAGGTTTACTGACAAGTAAAAGATTAAGATTTTTTAATAAGTGCTATCTGGGATACGGCTGAAATGAATTTTTGTGTATTCTATCAGAGGGCGCAGGAGGAGTAGTAAAAAGTTCCTAATCAGGTTTTCTGACTGTTAATAAATAATGAAGCAGTTGTTATAAGCATAAAAAATAAAAATAATAATAATTGCTCGAAAAAGGGGAGATCCTACTCAAGGTGGAAAAACGTAAAGAAATACTTACACCGTTGAGATTACTAGGAAAGAGGAGTCTAGACAGGAAGTGGAAATCCAGGAGGAATACGTGTACAAAAACCAAAGGAAAGACATATTAAAACATTTTTAATTTAACAAATAGACCATTATTTATACCCCAAGAAAAACTTTTGGATAAAGACCTGAAATTTGCCCTTACAAAAGGTTTGGACAAGTTCAGTATGTATAAGGATCTTAATATATTTATACAAGTTGTGTTTAAAAAATGTTTTCTTAAACACATGGCAGAGAGGCCTAATGCTCACGATCAACATACTGAATTTGTTCACACATAATTAAAAGAAAAAAATCTCCCCCCTCAATGTTACATATCAGGGGAAATGATTACCTTACAGAAAATGGCTATTCATGATTTAAAAAATATAAACAAAAATGCAATAAAATGAATATAATTTGAACTACAATGAAAGACTCTTAAGGAGTTTAAGAAAAATCAGCCCCTGGTAATTAAACCAGCAGATAAGAGGGGATGAATAGTTCTTATAGATAGATATTATTACGTAAGCAAATCCATTAGCTTGTTATGAGACCCTAACACATACAAAGTATTTACTAAGGACCCTACAAGTGAAATGAAAATCAGCTATAATAAGCTTATTAATAAAGGTATATTAAATAAAAAATATTTTACTTATCTAAATGTATTTTGGGCAGATGGTACAATACTGGGATTTTAAGATGTAATGTAATATCTTAAAATCCCAGTATTGCACCATCTGCCCAAAATACATAAAAATAGTAAGAAACCTCCAGCGCAACCGCTAGTCTCTATATCCAGTAAATTTTCTCAATGCATAGATGCCTACAACCCATTGTACAAAAGAGCCCCAGCTATCTGAAATATACTGTGAACATTTTGCAAGTCTTAAAGAATGTAACATGGGAAAAGCAATGGTAGTTCATATATGAAAAAGTTAAACTTCTTTTGTTTTTGTTCATTCTACGGACCTTCCTTAACTTGGCAAAAATACAAGGCCATAAAAACGTAAGGGTGCACACGTCATGGGAAATTCCCTAACTTAAGACAAGATGGCATCTTAAAGTTTGAAAATCTTTACGTACTGAATGAGTCGTAGCATAGCCTTGAAGCTTGTTTATGCATTATTGTTATTGTATTTTGTCTGGGACAAAATGGCGTAAACATATTGCTTAAAGAAATATGTATGAAAAACAATATGTTCCATTTCTAACACCTTGTCAGTTTGCAATATCTCTTAAAGACAAGAGAAATACTATATTTTCATTTGCCCATAACAATTGTAACAGTATATGTGAATTCACTTTATACCTTACCATGATGCTCAGCAAGAAGACACTCTATAGTCTAGAGGACTCCCATGAGTCTCCACAAGCTCAAATTGATTTTATTTTATAAGGTATATACTGGATCCTTATGAACAATTATTTTTGGGTGACGGGGAACCACATGACCCCAATTTTTTCAGAGCATTCCAACCACATTTACAAGTAAGTGCCTCCCCTCCAACATCCATCTGTAGGGGCTTTTTTCATATGGTATAGTTTAATTGGAGTGGTGTCCCACTGAAACATTGTTTTATACGATTTTTCTTGGTGGGAGACACATATGGACGTAGTGGAATTAGCTTCCCATATTTCCTGCCATTCTATGCCTTCCAATACCTCCCGCAGGTCTCCCTCCCATTGGTCGGCGGATGACAGCTGTCCCCATGTTTTGGTCTCTGAGCAGAGGTGGGCATACAGCAAGGTGATCAGGCCTTTTTGCATGGATTCATATAGACACATTCTTGTATAGAATGTCGTTGGTTTGAGGGCTGCTTCCCCGATATGTGGTTGTTTTGCAAAGTCTTTGATTTGTAAGTATCATCTGATAGAGACATGTGTCTCCATTGTTTGAGTTCTTCAAAAAATATTATGTCTCCCCCCTCATAAACGTGATAGATCCTTTGTAAACGTGCCATCTCTAGGTTTATAAAGTTATAGGCTATCATGCCTCGTGTAAAAGCTTTGTTACGTAGGAACGGCATTAACGGTGTTGGGGTCGAGGCCAGGTTATATTTTGTGGCCGAGGCATCCTAAATTCTTATTGAATTTAGGATGGCTGGGCAGGATGACCGCAGCAGCACCCTGTGGTCAATTGGTACCCACATGAGGAACTGTGGGAAGTCTGCACCATCAAGAGTGGCTCGAGGTCTATTCATCTCCGTTCCTCCAAGGGGGCATACCACATAGCTATTTGGGCCAGCTGCATTGCCGGGTAGTAGAAATGGAAATGCGGCAGGCCCAAGCATAGAATATGTTCCTAGAGGTCACTGGCCGTTTATTCTGCCACACATACGAGCCAATTGCTTTCTGTAGCGGTGCCAGCTCGGTTCTATTTAGCGGCAATGGGAGTACCTGAAACAGAAAGAGTATGCTCATATGTTCATTTAAACGGAGTGCACTCGGCCAACCCGTGATATGGGTTTATCAATCCAAGTCTTTATATCCTTCATCAATTGTTTCATCATTGTGGGGTGATTTAATTCATACAATTAGGATGGGTCTTCTGTTAGGCAAATGCCTAGGTATTTAATGGATATGGTGCATGTCGTGGATGAATGCCGTGTCCGCTGCAGAAAGCCCTAGTGGGAGGGCTCTAGACTTGTCCATGTTCGCTTTGTATCCCGGGATCAGACCGTATTGTGTGAGGATCTCCGGCAGAGCTGTCATGGAGTCTTTCGACTTAGTTATTGTTAATAGGATATCGTCCGCATAGGCGGATACTAGGAATTCCTGCCCTCCCACTTTGACACCATGTATGTTGGGGTGCCTGCGCAGTGCCTGCAATAAAAGTTCCAGTGACAGGATGAACAACAGGGGAGATAATGGGCAGCCCTGCCTTATACCATTGCTCAATTTGAAGGGCCTGGGATGGGCACCTGCAACCCTAACCTGTGCTGTGACGTTGCAATACATTGCTTTAATTGTCGAGATGTAGGAGTCTGGGAAGCCTTGATAGGACAGAAGAGTAAACAATTGGGCCATTTGACCCTTTCTCTGCATCAAAGGGTTTAAGTTGTGGCCTGTCACCATATGATATCAATATTCCTATGGGTTTCCTTAAATCTTTTTTTAACACATGTTAATAACAATAATAGGAGAATTCAAGTCACCAGCAATTATAGTAGAGATTTGGTTTAATATACTAAAAGCTGCTGCTTCTGTTTTTGCTTTCTCTATGAGTGTACCTGACTGGAGGACAGAAGAGGGACAGGTTCACCATAGTACACATCTACCTGTGAGAGCTGAGCCTGTCCTCTATAGGCTCTACTCCATGTGAGTGTATCCAGTATACTTGAAATACACTCTATTCATCTATAAAATGACACTACATATGATTTTACTTTTATTTAGCACTTAAACATCAGATATCCCTTTATACATATAAGGGTAAGTGCTCTCTGTAGGACTCCACTGTATTCACTGGTGTTGGCTTTTGCCATGAAGTTAATTTATAAATGTTTTGCATGACAGTGTGTAAAGTTGGAGAGATACTTACACTTGTGTGGTAGCTGCTAGTTTGTTTAAAATTATTCTATATAAATCATTTTATACACTTTTTTATACAGATCACCTGATTTTTATACTTGACATGACATATGTTTCATATATGTTTCTTGATTTTTGTCTAATAACAATATTCTTCCCAAAGAATTCATGAAAAGGATCCTTTAGTAACCCTTCTAATACTTTACCAGCCACAGAAGTTAAGCTTACAGGTTTATAATTTCCATGTAAAAAAGGTAACCCTTTTTGAATATATGAACCACATATTAAAGAGATTAAAATCAGAGGTTTGTTTATTTCTACACTTAGCCCCTTACATACTTGTGGGTGTATACCATCAGGAAATAGAAACATAGAATGTGACGGCAGATAAGAACCATTTGGCCGATCT